ATACTATTATTCAACGTTGATCTGAAAGTTTTAGCCATTGCCGTAATGTGAAGCAAGGAGGTGACTTAGGAAAAAGACTACCACTTCTTAAGGATTCTGAAATTGGAGATTATATTAAATATCTTATTTTACTGAATACTCCTAGCACCTCAACAAGATAGATAGTTATTTTATGTATTAGCATTGTTTCCATTTTTTTCCTTATAAGGAAACTGAAGTTCACAGATGATAAGTAACTTGCTTATGTTTATCCATCAGATGATCCTTGTGGCTCCAGCGTTTGCTGCTATTTGTAAAAGAGTCAAAATTATGCTGATTTAAACAGGATTTGTTTGTCCATCTTGAAAACCAGTAAAATTAACTGAAAGAGCTACCAGAATAAATAAGAGAATTCAGCAAGGTGACTGGATATAAAAGGCAGTCACCATCCTATACATCTGTACCACCCTACATACTAACATAACCAATTAGAAAGCATAAGTTTAAAAATTTTCGGTCATAACATATCAATAACTAACCTTAACAAGAAATGTGAAAGACTGATAAGAAGACAGCCACACATCTTTACTGAGAAACAGAAAAAGATAAATAAATGAAGCTTCATTCCTACTGTGGTCTTGGACAGGAAAACTGGATGTTGTAAAGATGTCAACTTTTATCAAGGTAATTTGCAAGTTTAATGAGACTCCCATAAAAATCTCTGAAATATTTTTTATCATGTTTGTTCCATCTGCAAGAATAAAAAGTCAAAAAATGTTGAAAAATACAATTACAAAAAAAGGGTTAATTTGATGTGTGAAGGAAACCAACACCTGTCATGTCACATTTTAAAACATACTCGGAAACTTTAGTAATCAAAAACAGCATGGTAAGGACATAAGAAATGGTAATGGATCAGAAGAAGAAAAATAGCCCGGAAACAGTCCTTATCATTTACAGGCTTCAGTGTGTAATAAAGGTGGTGACCAAATCACCAGGTAAAGGAAGATTGATTCAACCTCAAGGCTAAGACAATTGGCCAGCCATCTGGAAAAGAATTAAGTCAGTCTCATCTCTCACTTTATATCAAATAGATTTCTGATGGAGAAAGAGTTAAAATATGACTCCATAAAACTTAGAAGAAAATCTAAATAAATACTTTTAAACTTAAAAAAACCTTTTTTAACATTGTATTTGGAAATAATTTGACTCACATAAAGTTACAAAAATAGTACAGAATTCTTGTGTACCCCATCACATAGTTTTCCCTAATCATAGCCTCTTACATAACCATAGTGCATTTTCAAAACCAAGGAATTGAAGCTGGTATGACACTATTAAGAAACTACAGACTTGGCACATATATGTAATGGAATATTACTCAGCCATAAAAAGAAATGAAATTGAGTTATTTGTAGTGAGGTGGATGGACCTAGAGGCTGTCATACAGAGTGAAGTAAGTCAGAAAGAGAAAAACAAATACCGTATGCTAACACATATATAGAGAATAAAAAAAAAAAAAGGTTCTGAAGAACCTAGGGTCAGGACAGGAATAAAGATGCAGATGTAGAGAACGGACTTGAGGACACAGGGAGGGGGAAGGGTAAACTGAGACGAAGTGAGAGAGTGGCACTGACATATATCCACTACCAAATGTAAAATAGATAGCTAGTGGGAAGCAGCTGCATGGCACAGGGAGATAAGCTTGGTGCTTTGTAACCACCTAGAGGGGTGGGATAGGGAGGGTGGGAGGGAGACGCAAGAGGGAGGGGATATGGGGATATATGTATATGTATAGCTGATTCACTTTGTTATACAGCAGCGACTAACACAACGATGCAAAGCAATTATACTCCAATAAAGATGTTAAAAAAAAAAAAAAGAAACTACAGAACTGGGACTTCCCTGGCGGTCCATTGGTTAAGAATCCGCCTTCCAATGCAGGGGACACGGGTTCCCCTGGTGGGGGAGCTAAGATCCCACATGCCACAACTAAGACCCGAGGCAGCCCAAATAAATAAAATAAGTTAAAAATAAAAAAGAAACTACAGACCTTATTTGAATGGGGACATTTTAAACAATAAGAAATAAAACTCCAGGGCTTCCCTGGTGGCGCGGTGGTTGAGAGTCCGCCTGCTGATGCAGGAGACACGGGTTCTTGCCCCGGTCCAGGAAGATCCCACATGCCGCGGAGCAGCTAGGCCCGTGGGTCATGGCCGCTGAGCCTGTGTGTCCGGAGCCTGTGTTCTGCAACGGGAGAGGCCACAACAGTGAGAGGCCCGCGTACCGCAAAAAAAAATAACAATAATGAGCAGTTATCACTTTAATATTATTATTTTAATGGCTTATTGAAATATAATTTACTTATCATAAAATGCACCCTACCTTTATATTATTTTAAATGATTATGTATTTTGTTCATTTAAAAACAAATTTATATTTATTTTATTTTGTTTTTATTTATTTATTTATTTATTTATTTATTGGCTGTAATGGCGGCATGAGGGAGTGGACCCGGGCCCCCTGCAGTGGAAGCACAGAGTCCTAACCACTGGACCACCAGGGAATTCCCTAACAAATTTATATTTGGAAAATAGAACAGTATTTAAAACTAAAAACAAGTCTTGTAGACTGTAACTGTATCAGTTAGGGTTCTACCAAAGAATGAGAAATATATATATAAATGCCATTGAATTGTACACTTTAAATGGGTGAATTGTATGGTATGTACATTATATCTTAATTATACCTTCCTAAAGCTGTTACCAAAAAATTCCTAGCTCTGCCTCTCGCCAGATGTGACCTTGAAAAGTGACCTCACCTCCCTCAGCCTCAGTTTCTTCATCTGTTAAATGGGGATGATGACAACAGTAACCTCATGAATTGTTGGGATGTTTTGCTGAGAGGACACAGTAAGCCCTTGGTAAATACTAACAATAACGATTGTTTACTGAGGTGGGCTCCCCAGTGCCTGGCTCGGGGCTGGGCACTTATGTTCATGACCTCATTTTGTCCTCTGACCCCTCCTACGCCGATTGTGCAGTGGAGGAGACCGAGGCTGAGGGCTCCAGCAGACAGGCAGCATCGAAACCCGGGTGTTCTAGAGGCCGGCACCTGAGTTCTAACCACAGGGCAATCCTGGTTTTCGTGTTGTGTTGCCTTTCCATACGTGTGGGTGCTTTCATTACTGGGACCCACTGCAACAGGAGATGTCAGCTGCACACCTGGAAGCTTCATCCACCTCCCTCCCTCCTTCCAAATGGATTCTCTCCTTTTCTCTGGCTTAGAATACTTTCCAAGGTAGAAAACGCTCCAGAGAAATGCCATCCAAGAATTGGTGACTTCCTCGAGTCCCTGAGCAGGTCAGGCCTTGGGGAGGAAGACTGACTCAGCTCTGCCCCCTCCTCGCTTGGAGAGACCTCTGAGCCTCGGCCTCGTCACAGAAAACTTACAGATTATGATAGTATTTCCTTGCCAGGGATGTTGCAAGGCTGACTTACGCGCCTTGAGAGGCCCCATCACCAGGGTGTCAGCTCCTCCTGAGACCGCCGTTGGCAGGGAGAGGGCAGGCCTGGGGCTGGCCCCCACCCAGCAAGCCTCGGAGCTAGCTATGCGGAGCCAGCGAGTACAGCTGCTAAAAATAGAAGTCACATCTAGCAGGGACATGGGTTGGCCCAGAGGCAGGGCTCAGCCCAGGCAGATGGGAGTGGCGAGGGGGGGCCAGGACACTCGCCCACCACCAAGGCCCCTCACCTGCAGTGTGTGTGTGTGTGTGTGTGTGTGTGTGTGTGTGTGTTGGGGGTGTGTGATTCCATTACTCAGTGCAAGGCCCCATCCCCAGCTACAACAGAGGGGTGGAGACTACTCCTTCATCAGGGCGATGAGAAAAGTCCTCTAGGGATGTTCAGTAGACATATAATGTGAGCTACACATGTAATTGTCAATTTCCTAATACAAACATTAAAAAAAGATCAGGGGAAATTACTTTTAATAAATTTTATTTAATCTAAAATAATGAAATGTTGATCATTTCAACATGTCATCAATATAAAAATATTAAGGAAATCAATGAAATTCTCTTTCTCATACTAAGTCTTCAAAATATGGTATGTAGGACTTCCCTGATGGCGCAGTGGTTAAGAATCCGCCTGCCAATGCAGGGTACATGAGTTCGAACCCTGGTCCAGGAATATCCCACATGCCGCAGAGCAACTAAGCCCGTGCGCCACAACGACTGAGCCTGCACTCTAGAGCCCGCGAGCCACAACTACTGAGCCCGTGTGCCACAACTACTGAAGCCCGCGCGCCTAGAGCCCGTGCTACGCAACAAGAGAAGCCACCGCAATGAGAAGCCTGCGCACCACAACAAGAGTAGACCCCCCATGCTCTGCAACTAGAGAAAGCCCACACACAGCAACGAAGACCCAACGCAGCCAAACATAAATTAAAAAATAAACTTATATTTTTTAAATATGTTACGTATTTTAGGACTCATGGTTCATCTCAATTTGGAGTGGTCACGTCAAGTGCCATGTTAGTCTTTTACCACCGCTGTAACACATTAACACTTAGTGCTTTGAAACAGCATGGATTTATTATCTTACAGTTCTGGAGGTTAGAAAGTTGGAAATGAGTCTCAGGGGGCTAAAATCAAGATGTTGGCAGGGTTGTGTTCGTCCTGGAGACTCCAGGGGAGAATTCGTTCCTTGTCTTCTCCAGCCCTCCTTCCATCCATCCATCCATCCAGCCATCCATCCATCCATCCACCCACCCACCCACCCATCCATCCATCCCTTCCTCCATCTTCAAAGTGCATATCCCAAACTGCTTCTGTTGTCACATCTTCTCTCCCTCTGCTTTACTTGTCACTCTGCCTTCTCTGACTCTTACCCTCGACTCCCTCTTATAGGATCCTTATGATGATATTGGGCCTGCCCAAATAATCCAGGATAACCTCCCCATCTCAAGATCCTTAATCACATCTGCAAAGTCCCTTTTGCCATGTAAAGTAGCATACTCACAGATCTGAGGATTAGGGTGTAGACATCTTTGGAGAGCGTTATTCAGCTGGCCACACACACTTTACAGCCCCGCGTGTCAGCGGCTGCTGAACTGGACAGTATTGCTCTAGGGAAGTAAGGGGAAAAATCTAGTTAGAGCTTCTACCTTCACCCTCCTGCTCAGTCACTAAGCCCCTGTGGGATCTCAGGCAAGTCAATTCACGTCCTGGTTGTCCATATTTACCTTGCGTGTAAAGTGAGGTTGACAGTAACCCAAGCCTGGGAAAATGCAACAAGCTAGGAGGCACATCCATGCTTATTTAACTGTAAAATGGGGGGCAGTTCAATTGGCAGGTTGGAGGGGCTGCTGCCCTGTGGTAAGAGAATTGAATACCAGGAGGGTTCTCAGAGGCCATTGGGTTCTCAGCTGCCCCATTTTACAGATGGGAAAACTGAGGCCCAGAGTGGAGAAGAGGCTTGCCAGAGGTCCCCAGTGAGGTGGTAGCTGAGCCAGGGTGGGGATCCAGTGGGAAAACTGTTCCCTGTCACATCACACTGCCCATCCGTCTGAGTTTCCTCACTTATAAAATGCAAATAGTGATGGCATATTATCAGGGCTGTTGTGAGATCAAAGGACCTCCTAGGTGTGAATGTGCTCTGTGAAGAGCTAGAGGGTTGTGTAAAAGAAGGTCAGGATGACACCTGGGCACAGGTGTTTATGGTCTCCCTCCAGGGCGAAGGCTGGCTGCACCCTCTACCTCCCTGGCCTGCAGTGCTCTGGGCACCTCGGAGGGTGTCAATCCCGTCTTTCCATCTTTCCCCTTTCCCACTTCTAGAACCAAGTCTCGGGCCTCAGGAGGCAGGCCTTCCCCCGGTTGACAAGGCGCCCTTAGCCCTTTCCTGAAAAGTGACCTCCTCCAGGCTTGGCCCTCCCTAAGCTCTGCTCCTCCTGTGGGGACTGTGTTCTGGTCAGGGCAGGGGGCAGGTAAGCGCTCTTCCAGGCCTGGGTGGAGGAGCCTGGGTCCCCTGCTGGCTGGCTGTGCAAACCTGGGCACGTTCCTTGGCCTCCCTGTGCCCATCTGCACAGTGGGTGACAGGGGTTAGACCAGAGATGCTCACAGCCCCCTGAGACCTAAGATTCTGGGGATCCCTTCCCTGTCTTCACAGAAGCCCAAAGACAAACTATTCCTGATTCAAACTCTCACCTGCACCGGTGGGCAGGGCCGGCGGGCTGGCAGAAGCCAGGGCGAGAGGCAGGAGTAGAGCAGGATCGCAGGGTGGCCTCCATCTGTGTCAGGCTCTACCCCCCTGTCAGCTTTCCAGCTCCACCCTGGACCTTGGGCAGAGGGCAGGGCTGTCCTGCGGAGCCGCAAAGAGGCCTCTGGGCTGGAAGGAACTGGTGCCGGCATCAGTGAGTGGTGAGGCTCTGAAAACACCTGACTGCAATGAAAAAAGGAACTCTCTGGATCTTAACAGCCCAACACACGGTTTAGGCAGGTCCATGCCAGAGGGAGGAAGGGGTGCACATTCCCTCCCCCTCAAGTCCTGATGACGCTGGGCTTTGCAGAAACACCCTCAGAGGTGCACAGCACCCAGCCTGTGGAAGATCTGTTCGTGATTGTCTCCTAAGTGTCAGCTCTGTGCTGTGTCTCGCGACCCAGAGTGAAGTCCAAGTGTCATTTTCTACATGAGGTCACTGAGGCCCCACAGGGTAAGGAGCTGGCCTCTGGTGGATCAGCGATCGGGAGACAGAGCCAGGGCTAGTGGGAAGAGAGCTGTATGGCCTTGACTCACGGCTCCTCAGTGGGCTGGAGCTTGAGGGTTAAGACCTTGGTAGTAATTGTAGCAGGAATACTACACGCCGCTCACACTAGGGGCTCCATCGAAGTTCCTGCCATGTGTTGGCTTGCTTCATTCCCACACATCCCTACAAGGTAGGAATTTATCATCACCTTTTAACACTTGGGGAAATGGAGGCACAGAGAAGTTAAAGAACTTGCCCAAGGACACACAGCTACTAAGTGACAGAGCTGGGACTTGAACTGGACTATTGGACTCCAACACCTGCTCTTGACCAAATGCAAGTGAGAGGCTGCGGGGAGACAGTCTGAAGTGATCTGCATGCCCTGACCAGGGCATGCTGCTCACGTGCCGTGGGGAAGAGGGCCTCCTTCGGTCTGGCTCAGAATCCCACATGGTCAGCACTGTATCTGTCCCCACCCACCTGTCCACTATGCAGATGGGAACGTGAGCTCAGATTTGCCTTTGTGTTTTTTTTTTTTGTTGTTGTTGTTGTTTTGCCACACCATGCAGCATGTGGGATCTTCCCTGACCAAGGATCGAACCCGTGCCCCCTGCATTGGGAGTGCGGAGTCTTAACCACTGGACCGCCAGGGAAGTCCTGGGAACGTGAGCTCAGAGATGGCAGGTGACTGGCCCAAGGTCCCACAGCAAGAGTACAGAGTCCGGGGCAGGCTGAACACCGGACACTCAATGGTCTAGGGGGTTGGGAGTGCACTCATACCCCCACCCCGCCCCCAGGAGACATCCGAGGGGCAGGCAGCTCCCCAGGGGGCACAGTAGCAGCAGAGAGGAACTTTTCTCCCACCCCCCCAATCCCAGACACCCGTGTCCCAGGTGGATTCCACTCCATTGCCAGCCCTGGGATTTCTCCCCAGATGGAGCTGTGCTTGTGAGAGGAAGCGGGGATAGAAATCAGTTGTTTCCATAGAGAGAACCTTCAATATTGAAATCGACAAGTTAGTGGGTACAGCCCAAGGGCAGGGGTGTGTGGCAGCAGACCCAGGTCCTAGGAGGCTCTGCCTCTAGGCACCTGGCTGCCCCGAGGGAGTTGCTCTTCTCTGAGCTCCTGCTTTTCATCTGTACAAAGAGAACAGGGGCCCTACTGCTGGAAGAATGGATCCAACTGCCCAGAGGGCGACAGGAGGGTGAGAGCAACAGGCGGGGAGGGACGATGACTCAGCTGACCTCCTCCCACCAGAGAGGAATCACAGGCCACCATAGCCGAGCCACTGACCTGCTGGGTGACCTTCACCTCCCTGCCTTACCAGGATTGGCTGGGACAGCTATGATGACATTCGCACCATACACCCCGGATTTTCTACGGAAGAAATGCCTTGAGACAGGTGGGAGTTGAGGAAAGGACCTGAAAAGGAAGAAATGTCATCAGCCAGATGACTGTAATATCCCAGCCTCTCTGGAATGGTCCCCAAACTCTGTGCCACATGAATGTGCTTTGCTTAAACGAACGCAAGTCCCAGATGCCAAGGCAGCAAATGAGATCCAGCTCCTGGCAAAGGCTCAGTGGCCCCCCAGCAGCTCCCCTGATTTCATCCTTCCCCTTCCCCGTGGCCGGTGTCAATCCTACCCAAGAGGTTCCGCCAGGTGGAGTGCTCCAGGCAGGCCCATCTCCCCTGGAGAAGAAGGGCTGGTGGCTGGTCCAGAAGGGACATCACATCCATCTGACCCTCTCCTGCTCCCCAAAGCACTGGAGAGGACACCACCATGGGTAAAACCTCTCACTGTGGAGGCAGAGACATGCCTACTAGCTGTGTAACCTTGGGGAAGTTGCCTGGCCTCTCTGAGCTTGTTTCTTCATCTGTAAAGTAAGGACAACAGTGCCTTCCTCCTAGGTCAGTTATCAATATTAAGGGTGGTACTTGCAGGTAATGCAAGTAAAGTAGGTGCTCAGTAAGCTGTCGTTCTCATCGTTATGCTTGTTTAAAAATGAACCTGCAGTCTGCGCAGACCTAAAACCGACCTCACCTTTTTCTGTACCATTTCCACCTTATGCTGATCACGTCATGGGCTAAGGGTTTGAATCTGGCATAGACTGATCTGGGTCCAAGTCCTGGCTCCCGGCACTTGTGTGACCTTGGGTGGGTGATTTTTACCTCTCAGAGCCTGGGTTTCCTCCTCTATAAAATCGGGGTGATAATCATCACACCTCCTCTTGGGGTTTTTATGCAAGTTTCATGCAATGATGCCTGTGAGCCCTCAGCTCAGCGTCTACCGGTAGGCTCGGCACTCCATGACTGTTTGGGACCCTTGGTTCTGTTATTATTAGACTGGGACCCCACAGTGTCCAAAACTAGTGGTTTCCACAACCTTGGCATCCTCATAGCAACACTGTGAGGCTAGGATTTTCACCTTCATGCTGAAGTAGGAACTGAGGCTTAGCAAGTCTCTGCTCTGGAGCTCAGTAGGGGAGCAGGGGTCAGGAAGGGGAAGTGGGTCCTGTCTGCTCCACTGGGGTACAGCTGCTTGAAAGCACAGGAAGCATCACTCTCCCAGGCGCAGGTGGGCACAGTGTCCCGCCCACTGGCTTCTGGACCCACGGTCTCTTTCAGACCCACAGAGCAAATCCTCTCCTGAGATCTCCGGGAGCCGTGCCCAGACACCAGATGAAAGGCAGAGAAGAGTCCAGGAGCCCTGCAGTCACATGACCTCAGACAGGCTGATCCTCTTGGTGCCTCAGTTTCTCCATCTGACTGTGAATCACATCGAAAGTGTGAATCCTGATTCCACCACTGATTCAGATTGGGCTTGAACACATTATCTCCCTCTTCTTAGTTTCCTTGGCTTCACCTATGAACAAGGGCTAACGGAAGAATGGGATAAGGGGGTGTTAAGTGAACAAAGGAGAGCATAAGGCTGTAATTAGTATGATTTAAATGCATTTTTAAAAGTCCGTGTGTGTGTGTGTGCGTGTGTGTGTGTGTGTGTGTGTGTGTGTTTGTATCTACTGTTTCAAAAAGACATAGAAAATTTATTAAAATGTTTCTAGTAGTACTCTCTGGACACTGGGCTCATGACTGATTTTTACTTCCTTTTGTATACTACATTTGTAGTTTTCCAGTTTTTCTACCATGAGTATGTGTCTCTTGCAATCAGAAATGAACAATTAAAGGCATAAATAGTCGTCCATATGGCTCAGGGTGGTCTGAGGATCACCTGTGGACACCCCCAAGGAGGCCTGTGAGCTGCCAGGTAACAGCAAACGTTCCCTTTGCTGACTGTGCTCACGCGCCCCTCCTGGGCACCATCGGGGTGACGTTGTGGTTCCCACGGGCAGGCCCTCTGGCTGGGAGCAGAGGGACCTGTTGCCTCCCAGGGCTTCCCGTAAAGATGTGACTTCATCTTGGCTGAAGACACAAAAGGAACTGAAGATTCCTCGTCAATCTAAACGAAGGAAAGTAACTAGAAGCAAAGACCTGGCTTCGAATTCCACTGCCTCCCCTTCTCCCACCTGACATTAGGCAGGGCACCGGGCCTCTCTGGCCTCAGCTTCCCGGTCTCTAAAAGGGGATTACACGATGCTTGCCTCACAAGGGTTTTGTGAGGAGCCAATGAAACAGCAGCTTTGCCTGCATCTTGCCTCCCCTCCTCTTGAATCGTCTGTAAGAGGTAAGACATCAGGTGTTTGGTGCACTTAACATAGGGCTTTGGTGGAAGGTAAATTAGTTAACGGTTTCAAATCATCGTCTCATCCTGCTGTTAACAGCCTGAAAGGTCACACGCAGGTTGATTTGGGAACCTCCCACCCAGTGCTGCTACTTTTGGGCAGTTGGGACCACCTTAGATGCCTTCTGTGCTCCAGCCCATCCTGCCTTCCTGCCCTCCCCTCCGCGGTTCCACCTCCCAGACCTTACCTGAGGGCAAGACTGCATCCCAACTCTGGGTCTTTACTGTCCCTCACAGCCCTATTCTCTGCATCTCAAAAATATTTTAAGGGTGAGTTTACAGGCCACCTCTTCCAGGAAGCCCTCCGCGCTTCAACCAACGGATCTGAGTTCCTGTGCTGTCTCTGAGCCTCTCTTATGTATCAGTTTCAATGAGCTACTTATACCTGTTTCACCCACTGCACTAAGAGTTTCTTGAGGGTAGGGTGCACATCTTACCGTTCCCCACACCCTAGGGGCCAGCACAGTAGGTCTCAATAAAGCTTTACCGAAAGAATGGCTGCAGCTCACAGTGTCTGAAGAGAGTATGTGTCTTTTCCCATTAGATATAAGCGATGAAAGGGACAGAGTGATATTTGTCCCTAGTAGTGCTTGTCCCACAAATCGCTTGTTACCTTAGCGAGTAGGGATGATTTTTTTTTTTTTTTGGCCAGGATACCAGCTTTGAGACAGATGTCCCCATCACTTGCTGGGCCAGACCTTTGTTTCTACACACATCAAGGAAGCAAGTCAGCCTCATGACAGGTTGTCAGCAGCGGGGACGAGAAAAAGAAGCCCTGACACGTTTGTAGCCTATCACGTGTGGCAAGATGCCATTACACTACAAAGCACTAGGGCTCGGGTATCATATTTGGGCCTCGTGAAAACTTTGTGAGCTGGGCAGGGCCAGGCAGGATGCTTCCCCGTGTTTGTAAATGAAGAGGCTGAGGTATGATGGGATACCAGGTCTGGACTAGGGGTGGGTCTGGGTTTTCTGATATACTGATCCCACTGGGCCGTGCTGCTCTGTTACCTCTTATGTGAGCATCATCCTCACAAACGCTGGGCTAGAGAGGACAGGCAGGGCTGCTGACCCATTTCACAGATGAGAACCCTGAGGGTGTGAGACATGAAGCCCATCACAGCCTCGGCAAATAGAGGAAGAGTAAGCTGCAGGGAAGCCTGGTGGGGAGAGGAGCGGGGGACCTGCCCTGCATCTCTGAGCAGCAATGTGCAGCCTCAGGGCTCTGGAAAGATGGGCGAGGGTCCTTACAGGAACTGGTTGTGTAGGGACCTCCAAGGTGAGAAGACAAGCATGGGCTGCAGCCAGGCCAGGCCAGGTGGGCAGTGGTGCCCGGGCCTTTCTCTCTCTAGCCTCTCCTGTGTAGCATCTCCTTTGAGGTCACAGAACTCAGCGAGGGAGGCAGGCCGGGGCGGTTCCCCCATTACAGTCAGAAGACTGAGGCAGAGAGGCATGTTCCTGCCAGCACACCAGCCTTGGATGCCACCTGCAAAACTGGCAGCGCCACCCAGAGCTCACAAGTCACCACCAACTCCCACAACCATACCCTTCATGAAAAGTGCAAAAGACATTTAAAAAAATTCTTTGGTTTTATACATATAAAAGGTCAACATCTGTGGGTGGCTCAGCGGTCCTGATCCATCAACTAGAGATGTGGTTGCCTTCGTTCAACAGGAGACACGGGATTCTGGAAATGGCCAAGAGTGGGGCCCCCAGGCAGGCAGCGTGGAGAGTCTGTGCCCCTCTCCTTCTCCGTGCTCCTTCCAGCTGCCTCTGGGAGCTAGGGACCTGGTTTCACCTGGAGAAGGTGGAGGGGCGCTCAGCTGGGGGACGCAGGACGCAGGGCCTCTGCGTGGCTCTGCATGGAGGGCAAGCAGACTGCCAGGCCCAGGGTGGCAGGTGCCGTGCGGGTCAGCTCAGCCCACCTGGCGGTACTGAAGGTGAGTCAGGAAACTGGAGGGCATCAGGCTCCTGAATGTTTCCAGACCCCCTGCGGCACTAGGCCTCATCTGGCCCAGGAGGCATAGAGTCAGAGACTCTGGGCTGGAAGAAACCATGAAGGTCTTCAAAACCACCCCTCCCCGCATCTGATGCCCTCCCCGCAGCATAGCCCCCTGGTTTTGCTTGTTCACCTCCAGTGCTGGGGAACTCGGTCCAGGCTGGGACAGATTGAATTCGCACTGGCACCCTGTCACTTCCACCCCCTGGTCCTGGTTCTGATTCCAAGCAGGACGAGAGCAAGCTCACTCTCCGTGGCGGCCTGCAGAGGTCTTCCCATCCCTGGAGTTTCTTTGCTGAGGTCCCACACCTCCAGTTCCCCATCCACGCCCCAGCCTGGTCCCCACACCCTCCCCATCTCGGCCAGAGTCCATCTCAACATTCAGGGCCAGGTGGCTCTCGGGGCTCCAGTGCTGCACGGTCAGTGCAGGGGGATCAGTCCTGCACCACCTCCTTTGGGACCGTGTGCCTTTGTGGGCCCAGTCCAAGGTCCCGCCACACTAAACTGATAGCTAGCCACGGTCAATCTGTCCGCTCGGCTCACGTCATGCCAGCCCAGGCCCATCACTGTGTCTTGGGATCTTGGGCGCCAAAGTCAGGACCTCAGTCATCTTGCTGAACCCCCATCTGAGCGGGTACTCCCTCGGGACCCGGGTGCGGCTTGCTCGGCCCCTCCTGCCCTAAGCATCTGTCTCCACGATGCACTTGAGGAACATGGTGTCGTCCTTCACGTAGGCATGCTTGGGCGACTGCAGCTTGTTGAGGGGGAAGAAGAGTGGGCAGCCGCTGGCCACATTGGTTTCGCTCTGGGGCCGCTGGAAGGATGCTGAGTTCAGGTCGGGCCGGAAGGCGTCGATGGCGTGCTCACGGTTGTTCTGGTCGAGCAGCATGAAAGTGACCTGCGGGGCAGGGGCCAGTGGGAGATCAGGGACAGGGCCTGTGCCTGTCACCCGTGCAGCCCCTCTAACCCTGAGGTCACACTGATCAGGAGTCAAAGAAACACGTAAGGACCACACATGGCGTACAGGAAGAGCCCGGAAACGGAAGCACCTGGTACCGTGAGCAGGCTTCAGGGGTGTCCCACGATTAGAGCTCAGGTGTTCTTAACAGGAAGGGGGAATTCAGATGCCACTGCCAGTTGTGGTTGGCTGTTGGGGGCTAAAGGGGGGACTAAGCCCAGACAAGGAGGTTGGACTCCATAACCCAAGATGTCCCTTCCTGCACTGAGATGTCTGTCTGATCCTTCAAACACAGCTGGATCCTCCCAGGCGAGAGCAGACAGGCCTTCCACTGAGCAGACGGCAATCAACACCCTGAAACACGAACCCAGCTTCTGGTCTGTACAGGGGCCCTGTGTGCCTCCGAGAAGCCAACGATCTCAAAGTGACACACAGCCTCCTCCCTGGCACACGTCACTGAAATGCCCATCGCCCACTGCAGCAGTCAGTTCTCAAACTTGGCTGCACTTTAGAATTCCCTGGGAAGGTTTGAAAACTCCCGATGCTCACGCCTCACCATCTACGGGAGTGAGACCCAGTCATTAGTATTTTGAAAATCCCCCCAGCACATATGGGAACCACTGACCTACTGACTCATAGCCAGACCACTGCGGCACTACCGCTTCCACCCCACCTGCTCGCCCTTATCTTCCTCCACCCAGCTGAGGTGTGGAGTCCACACCCTCCCCTTCCCTCTCCCACTCCCTTGCTGTCGCCGTCCACCTGCGGGGAATCCCTGCCACACTCCCACCTCCGGCGGCCCTTTTAAGCATTTTTAACAAACTTTATTTTTCAGAGCAATTTTAGGTGCACAGCAAAATTAAATGGAAAACACAGAGATTTCCGAGTACATATCCCCACACGACCTCCTACACTGTCAACATCCCCACCAAAGCGGTACATTTGCTACAGGTGATGAACCTATGTTGACGCATCATATTCACCCAAAGTCCCTAGTTTAAGGTTCATTCTTAGCGTTGTACATTCTATGGGTTTGGACAAATGTATAAGGACGTGAATCTTATCATTATAATATCATTCAGAGTATTTACACTGCCCTAAAAATCCTCTGCGTTCCACCTATTCATCTCTCCTCCCCTCCATGAAATCCTGGCAACCACTGATCTTTTTACTATCTCCACAGTTTTGCCTTTTCCAGAATATCATGTAATTGGAATCACACAGTATCTAGCTTTTTCAGACGGGCTTCTTTCACTCAGTAATATGCCTTTAAGCTTCCTCCATATCTTTTCATGGCTTGGTAGCTTATTTCTTTACAGCACTGAATAATATTCCACTGTCTAGATTTACCAGAGCTTATTTATCCGTTCACCTACTGAAGGACATCTTGGCTGCTTCCAAGTTTTGGCGATTATGAATAAAGTCGCTGTAAATATCTGTCTGCAGGGGTTTTGTGTGGACGTAAGTTTTCAACGCATTTGGGTAAACACCAAGGAGTGTGATTTCTGGGTCACATGATAAGAGTATGTTTAATTTCGTAAGAAACCGCCAAACTATCTTCCAAAGTGGCTGCGCCATTTTACAGTCCCACCAGCAGTGAGGGAGAGTTCCTGCTGCACCACATCCCTGCCAGCATTGGGTGTTGTCAGCGTTTGGGATTTTGGCCATTCTAAAAGGTGTGCAGAGGCATCTCCTCCTCCTTCCCTTTTTCTGAGAATGCTGTCAGTTCAGGCCAGCCCCACAGGACCTCCTCCAAGAGGTTTTCCTTATTCACCCCCAACATGAACTTCATCTCTACATGTCTTCCAGGGTCACTGGTCCAAACATTTTAGCTCCTAGACTCAGAATGCAGCAAAGAGCCTTGGCTACTAGATGTGAACTCAGGCTCTTGTTTTATGAGGGGAAACTGACAGCACGGAGGGCAAAGGATCTGCCGAGGTCACACAGGGAAGTTCAAGGCTCAATCAGGATCAGGACCCAGGTTTCCTCCATCCCACCCCCACTGTCCCCCAGGCCCATACCTTGTTCCGGAAAGGCCACGGCAGCAGAGCATCATACTCCCCTCTCATGATCACGATGAAGAGGGACAGGTGGGTCCTCTTCCCCGTCCCGTCCCCATTCAGGTAGAGCCGCAGGCACAACTTGTATCCGTACTTGGCAGTGTAGAAAGCTGAAATGAGGAAGCCAGAGTCAGCGCCGAGGCAGCTGGAGAGTGCTGGGCTTTGCAGATGAGGAAACTGGGACTGACAGTTAGGCATGCCCAGGTCATGGCTCAAAACTACAAAATCGGGACTTCCCTGGTGGCACGGTGGTTAAGAATCTGCCTGCCAATGCAGGGGACACAGGTTTGAGCCTTGGTCCGGGAAGACCCCACATGCCGCAGAGCAACTAAGCCCGTGCGCCACAACGACTGAGCCTGCACTCTAAAGCCCACGAGCCACAACAACTGAGCCTGCGCACCACAACTACTGAAGCCTGCGTGCCTAGAGCCCATGTTCCGCAACAAGAGAAGCCACCGCAACGAAGACCCAATGCAGCCAAAAAAAAAAAAAAAACCATAAAAATGAAATCTGGGGATGGAGCTCAGCATTCTTCTCCGTTATAGAGCATCAAATCTTGGAGATCATCTGGCCTGGTGGCTGTCAAAGGCCATCAGAATCACAGATTGCCCCTGGAGCTTCTGACTCAGTAGTGCTGGGGTGAGGACTGAGAATTGGCATTTCTAACAGGGGACAGAGATGCTGCTGGCCCTGGGATCACACTTCTTTTTTTTTTTTTGCGGTACGCGGGCCTCTCGCTGTCGTGGCCTCTCCCGTTGTGGAGCACAGGCTCCGGACGCACAGGCTCAGCGGCCATGGCTCACGGGCCCAGCCGCTCCACGGCATGTGGGATCTTCCCGGACCAGGGCACGAACCCGTGTCCCTAGCATCTGCAGGTGGACGCTCAACCACTGCGCCACCAGGGAAGCCCGGGATCACACTTCTGATTTAACCAACCTGCATTTTGTAGTCGGGAACCCAAGCCCAGCAAGGGGAAGTGGCTGGCCACAGTGTCATAGTGTACTGGGGGCAGAGACAGAATTAGGGGCCAGGCCTCCTACCTCCCAACACGGACTTCTTTCCGCTGCCCTAGGCCAGGCGGTTGGGGTCTCCTGGAGGCTGGGAGAGAGTGTGGTGAATCACAGTGCTGCCGGCCACCGCTGGCAAAGGCCCCCGGGATGAATCATCCCCTGGTGATTAGGCACAGGGGCCTGTGGGCTCTCTCCCTGGGCAGCTGAAAGAGTCATCTGAGTGTGGGTTCCAGTAGCCGTCACCATGAGGGCCCTTCTGGGAGGGGCTGAGCGGGGACAGGGTGTGGAGGGTATGCGGGAAGGAGTGGAGGAGGGACAGGCTGACAGTCTGACTCATCTGTGCCCCTTGTGTTTTGGTAGAACAGGAAGCCAGAGACACTGCTTGCTTTTTCCCTCTCTGGAAAGAAGCCAGGACAAAAAAGCTTACGTGTAGGAGGCGAGGCCACCCCCTGAAGGGGCTGTCCCTGTTCCTGAGGAAAGGGGGGCTGGCTTTGGGACCCAGCCTACTCTATGGTGTGGGGCAAGCTCCCATGCCCCTCTGAATCCCAGCACTGTTGACCTTGGGTGTGTCAGAGGAGCAGATGGCCAGGAAAGGCACGAGGCTGGAGCAGATGTGAGTGGTGGTTAAAACTGCCATCGGCAGAAATCCTCCTTAACGACCCACCCGTTTACTTAGAGGCACGCGAGTGAGGCCAGGGGAAAAGCACACAGGTCTGAGCACAAATACACACATTGTTACACAGACAGCTATCAGTTAATTAGGAGAAACAACAACCGAGTAACTGCCTACGTCATGCAAGACATCGTGCCAGGCCCAGGGGCCCCAGAAGCGACTAAGAACTGCCCCAGTGTACACAATACTCAATCACGTGCTCCCCACAGTGGTACACAGAGAGTTCTCCACTTGTCTTATGTCAGACCACGGGGTCTCGGAGGGCGGGGCCCCATGGTATTTACCTGGGAAAGTCACCCTGGGCTTCCCTCGCATCTACACAAACTTTGGTTCACAGCGCACTCTCTTTCACAACCGATATCCACACAACGTAGATCATTTTATTCCTAGTTACAGACCATGACGGACGTCCAGGGAGGTACGCCTGGTGCAAACAGCCCCTGATCCACGCGGCTGAGCGGGGAGGGGCCTACTACCTCCGCGGGCCTGGTAGGGCCGGGGGCCCGAATGGACACTGGCCTAACTGGACGCAGCCCGCCTGTCAGAGCGGAACACCCCCCCCCCGCCTCCCCCAGCTGGTGTCTGTGCCCCCGGGGAGGCCTTACCTGGGGAGAAGAGGCTGACGGTCCTGCCGCAGGCTGACTCATGGCACCGCCTGGTGACACTGGTGACCTTCCATAGGAACGTGCCATCGTAGGAGGCCTCTTCCATGAGGCGGAAGCTCTGCTCCAGCTTGCCCAGGGCCTGGTCTTTCTGGGCCAAGGTCTGCTGCAGCTCCATCACCTGGGGCGGGGAAGCCCATTCAGCCAGGGGCACCAGAATCCAGCTTGGCGGTGGGATGGGGACAGCGGGATGTAGAGACAGAGCTGCCCCCGAATTTGCTTTCTTTGCCTCCCTCAGCCACGTGCATCTGCCTTTGTACATGCCGTCCCTCCTGCCCGGGATTCCTTTCCCTTCCTTGTCCACTGGCCAACTCCTGTTCGTCCATCAGGAACCTGGCTCACAGAGTTCTTCCTCTGCGAAACACTTAACCACTGCCCTAGCTCAGCTGGTTTCTCTCTTTCATCATCGATCTTATAGAGGCTTTACAACCACCTGAGATATATTTTTCTGCCTTTCCAACAGGATAGATGGTCTCCCCTATCAACGGCTGGGCCCATGCTCATTTTATCTGTGTCCATGCCTTGCACAGTGTCTGGCACGTAAGAGTAGAGCCAGGAAATTCGTTAATGAACTGAAGACACAGTCACTGCCCTCGGGGAGGCCATCACCTTCCAACTGGGGCAAGAGTTACATAAATAAATCCTTTACTTCGCCACCCAAACCTAGTGCCTGGCTCTTCTGGTAGGTTCCTCCACTGACATTTGAAAGAATACAAATTTATTCTTGGGTGTACTCAGGTAGGGAAGTCAGGAATGGAAGTGAGTGTCCTTAAAGAAAACTGAAGCCCTAATTTTACGGATGGGAAAGCTGCAGTCCTGTGATTTGCCCAGATCTATACAGCAAGTTAATGGTGGACCTGGAACGAAAATCCAGGCCTAACTCAACATGAGACGGTGAAGTAATGTTGCTGCCCCCCAAAAAAGCAACATTAACGTGGTGACTGGTTATATTAAGAAAAGTATAAGCTCTGGAACAAAGGAGGGGACAGTCTGGTGCAACCAAGAACTGTCAGATAAGTGGATTATCTGGTGGTTTGACACCACCACTCTGAGTGTGTGGAATCCTTTAGAGGCTGAGCCAGCACATATGAGGACAGCATGAAACGATGTGCTCTGATGAAGTGGTGAAGGCACTGGGGGTGTTTAGCCTAAAAAAGGAAACACTCAGGATATTATTACTGACTGCTCATCTCTGAAGGGCTTCCATGGGGGCTAGAAGTCAGATGTTTTGGGGGCCCCGAGGGGCAGGGAAGACACAGGAGGCTGATTTTAGTTAAGTATGAGGGAGAACTTTCTAGTGGTGCAAAATGTCCAGCTGTGGAATGAGATGCTTGGGGTGGGAATAGTCTATTGCAGAAGTTTAAGCAAAGGAAAGGAAGCACTGGACGGGGGAGTTTGACCTTGACTATAACTTCTGACTCAGTCCTCTTCCTAGAAGGCTGTGGGATGCAGGAGAGATATTTTTGAAGGAGGAGTGACTGGTCTGCACAGGGAGAATGCTTAGCAGGAAGGCTGGTCCTCTGCTCTGGAGACAAGATTGGGGCGGCGGGGCGGTGGGGGGGGGCCCTGAGCTGCCTTGAGGGTAAACGTGCCTCCCATGCTCACCCTCCGTTCCAAGCTCAGGATGTGCTCACGGCCCAGCCGGCTCTGGTGGATGGAGGCGGCCAGGGCCAGGTGGGAGGCCTCCACCTCCTTGTTGAGGACGGCGACAATGTTCTCAAACACGCACAGCTTCCCCTCCAGCTCAGTCAGGAGCTTCTCCTTCATGAAGTGCTGCAGGGCCAGCTCCTGCTGGCTCTCGGAGCAGGGGGCCCGGTAGCAGTCCACCTCTAGGTCCCCAGCTGTCTCCACAGCCCCCTGCAGCTGCAGGTCTGACAGATTCTGCTCCAGGGCCATGGGTCCAGACCCCAGGCCAGAGCCCAGCTGGGCCTTCCACTGTTTCATGAACCCTAACAGCAGGTTCAGGTGGGTAGCCTGGGAGGTGACCTCATGCTCCTGCATGAACTTTGGGCCCCCCTGCCAAGAGAGTGGGGCTGATCAGTGAAAACAGAGGGGGAGGGAGGACCAGGGAGCAGTGGAGAGTCCTGCCACCAAAGGTTGCCAAGGGAAGTCATATCCATTCATCCGGCCAAGGGAAGTGTACAGCAAGAGGGATTCGGAGAAGGACCCTGGCATGAGACATACCCATGATGAGCTGTGTCCATCCCAGCCTCCAGAGCAACAATTCTGCCATGCCCTTGAGCGCACTGATGATTCAGGACCATGGAGAGAGGCAAAGGGGTTTTTGGGGGTGCGGGCGGTGGTCATTTTTGTGATGCTACAATGCCCAGGTGAGACATTAAGAAGAACTCCCCTGAGTACGAAGATGATTTACTAGTGATTTTGTTGCTTGGGAAAGTCATGTAAGGTACATCCAGAGGCATAGCTTGATGTTGTGGGAACATCCCGGAGGGGCTGATGGGAAGGTCTGAGACTGTAGTATACAGATAGATCTCCTCTCTCACACTCAGATGCTTACCTTGAAGGCGCAGCCAACACCTGCAAAGGGACACCCAACTCCAGCCTCAGCCACCTCGGGGTGATCCTGGAAATAAGAACCATGTCACTGGATGTTATGGGGCTCCCAGTGGCACTGGGGCTCTCTGCAAAGCACCAGCATCCACCAGGCATGAGCTGGGCTGGGCCACAAAACTTGGCACATGCTGTTCCTTCTGATTCAGCCGTCCTGTAACCCTCCTTCAGAACAAGAGCAAGGCCCCTGCTGTGATCCTGGGAAGCGCTGCCACCTCTCCTGATGGGACATGTTCCACTCAGCCCTGTAATCATCATTTACTTTTTGGTTGCCCCCACTGGTCTGGGGGCTCTGTGAGGGCCTCTAACAAGCAACTTGACAATACTGTTAACCTATGTATAAGTCTAAGGAGTTTACAAAATGCTTTCATAGTCATAATTCTTCCTAGGGCCCCTAACAACACTTGGGGATAGCAGGGTAGGTTTTTTGTTCCCATCTGATTGATGAAGAAACTGAAGCTTACAGAGGGGCAGGGATTTACTCAAGGAGGAACAGCTAGGAAGCAGCAAGCTCCAGGGATCTTCCTACCCCATGTCTCTATATCTTATCAAGAGTAAGTCCAGGGCTTCCCTGGTGGCGCAGTGGTTGGGAGTCTGCCTGCCGATGCAGGGGACACAGGTTCGTGCCCCGGTCTGGGAGATCCTGCGTGCCGCGGAGCGGCTAGGCCCGTGAGCCATGGCCGCTGAGCCTGCGCGTCCGGAGCCTGTGCTCCGCAATGGGAGAGGCCACAACAGTGAGAAGCCCGCGTACCCCAAAAAAAAAAAAAAAAAAAGAGTAAGCCCAGGAGAGACTGGGAGAACATTTTTTCCTAAACATAGACCTGGAAAGGGCTTATATCCAGAATATATAAAGAACTCTTACAATTCAATAAGACAAACAACCTAATACAAAATGGGTAAAATACTGAACAGATACTTCACAAAATAAGATACACAAATGACAAGCCTATGTAAAGATGTTCAACATCACCAGTCATCAGAGAAATGCAAATTGTAACGAAATGCCACTGTCCACTCACTAAATGGCTAAAATTTACAAAGAACGAGAATATCGAGCTTTGGTGAGAACGTGGAGGAACTGAAACACTCATAGGTTGCTGGTGGGAATGCGAAATGGTACAACCGCTTTGGGAAAATCTATGGAAGTATCTCATAAAGTTAAATCATACATACATAAGACCGTGCTTATCAAGTTATCAGACAACCCACACATTCCACTCCTAGGAATTTACCCAAGAGAAAGTGAAAATATGTCCGGGTATATGTAAATGTTCACGGCAGCTTTACTCATAAGAGGCCCACGCTGGCAGCAATCCAAGTATCCATCAACTGGTGGATGGATGAACAAAGTGTGGTATATCCGTACTCCCGGACACTACTCAGCAGTCAGATGGACTAAATTACTAATATGTGCGATAATATGGAAGGACCTCAAAACATGCTAAATGAAAGAGTCAAACACCAAAGACTACATACGAGGATTCTATTCTTACAAGATTCTAGAAAAGGCAAAACTATAGTGACAGAAAATAGACCAGTGGCTTCCTGGGCTGCAGCTGGGGGAGACTGACTGAACAAGGGCACAAGGAAGCTTTTTCTGGTGCAGAAACATTCACCCTCCTGACTGCAGGTCACACGATTGTATACATTTCCCGGCATTCATCAATCTGTACACTTAAAATGAGTGAATTTTATTACATGTAAATAATATCTTGATTTCCTAAGAGCTTTGTTGTTGTTTTCAAGAATAACCTCATGGGGTGATGTGAAGGGAGATTTGGATGAAAGGAGGGGAGGACAGAGGTCTTTTGGGCTGAGCAAATACAAAGCACACTAGTTATTATTCTCTAATAGTAGAATAAGTGAGAGCTGTGGGCTTAATGAGTACAGTTGGTTTGGGACACAGAGCACAGCCCAGCAAAAGGCCACCCCCCACTTTGCCCCATTGCCCCGGGCTTCAAGCACAAGTTGCTCCCAACAAAGAATAGAAAACAGATGTTTTACTGGGGAGGGGTGGGTAGCCTTGTCAGGGAGACTGCAATGGCTTTGGAAAGTGCCCTGTGATGCAGCCTCTCCCAGAAGGTAGTTCCCGACATGAGGGAAGGATGGAGGGCCTGAGGCCAGTGAGGAACCTGGCGAATGCACAAGGGGTCATCTCTCAGGCCCTGAAACTCCCTACGAGCCCATGATTAGAATCCTCTGCCGTTCTAAGGGTATATGCTTGAAGTGAGAGTCAGAGGGAGGTAAAAACGTGAAAGTGATAGAACTAACGGTGGGAGTCCAGAATCGCCCACAGGTGGAGAGGCACACGTTCCTTTGGCATCTGAGCCCTGTGGTGTGTCTGTGCAATGAAAGCCCATGCAGGCTGGCAAGTGCTACATGGGTGGAGCGGGCATCCTTATTACCATGTACAATGGGAGTGGGCTGGGACCAGCCTCTCATGTCTGGCAGAGGAGGGGCAGGGCGTAACTTGAGAGGCCGCTGGTGGCCAGCCAGGCTGCCCAGAGTCCCACCATCAGTCACTCAGCACTCCTTGGGGTGCTTTCCAGGGTTAAGGGGGTGGGCTCTGGAGCCAGCCTGTCAGGGTGCAAAGCGCATCTCTGTCACTTCACACACTATCTATGTGGCCCTGGGAGAGTTATTAACCTCTCCATGTCTCAGTTTCCCAGTCTTCAAAATGAGTATAATAACAGAACTCCCCCTTTAGAGTTATGGTGAGGATTAAATGCCATAATATAAGTAAATTCTGACATGAGTGACCTACTGTGCTATAACAAAATACCACAAACTTATTGGCTTAAAACAACCCCCATTGAGACTTCCCTGGTGGCACAGGGGTTAAGACTCCACGCTCCCAATGCGGGGAGCCTGGGTTCAATCCCTGGCCAGGGAACTAGATCCCACATGCATGCCGCAACTAAGGAGCCCACCCACGTGCTGCAACTAAGGAGCCAGCGAGCCGCAACTGAGACCTGCCACAACCAAATAAATAAACAAACAAACAACAACAAAAAGCCAACCCACATTTTTTGGGTTGGCCAAAAAGTTCGTTCTGGTTTTTCATGTCATGGGAAAACCCGAACGAACTTTTTGGCCAGCCCAATATTATCTTACAGACCTGGAGATCAGAAGTCCTAAAAGTGAGCAGGATTGTGCCCCTTCTGGAGGTCCAAGGTGAGCACCTGTTTTCTTGTTTTTCCAGCTTCTGAAAGCCACCCGCATTCCTTGGCTCAGGGTCCCTCCCTCCATATTAAAAGCTAGCAGCAGAGCATCTTCCAATCTCGCTCTGATTCTGATTCTCTTGCCTCCCTCTTTTGGGGGCCCTTGTGATAACAATAGGCTCACCAAATAAGCCAGGGTTATCTCCCCATCACCAGATCCTTAATTTAATCACATCTGCAAAGTCCCTTTTGCCATTGTTATGGGCTGAGTAGTGTCTCCCCACCCTGAATTCATATAGGGAAGTCCTAGCTCCCATGAACATGACTGTATTTGGAGACAGAGTCTTTAAAAGAGGTAATTAAGTTAAAAGGAGGTCATTAGGGTGAGCCCTACTCCAATATGACTGGTGTCCTTATAAGAAGAGAAAATTAGGACACAGACATCCAGAGGGAAGATGATGGGAAGATGCTGGGAGAAGAGGGTATCCACAAGCCAAGGAGAGGGGCCTCAGAAGAAACCAACTCTGTCTAGAACTTCTTGCCTCCAGAACTGTGAGAAAACAGATTTCTGTTGTTCACACCACCCAGTCTGTGGTACTTAGTTACGGCAGCCCGAGCAGACTAATAGAGCCATGTGAGGTAACATATTCACAGGTTCCAGGGATTAACACGTGGACATCTTTGGGGAGCATCATTCTGCCTGACGCGGTGCTCAGTAAATGTCACCCATGATTAGTAGAAGTACTATTATTAGCAAAATTATTCCTGTGGATTAAGCACTGCCCTTGGGACATCTTTTTCCTTTTGCTAATGGCTGTCACATACACGCGTCTCATTTAATCCTCACATCTCAAACTCTTAATAACTAATTCTGTAAAACCCTATTTTCCCACTGGAGGTTCTGCCTCTCGTGTAGGTGAGGAAGCTGAAGCTGAGATGGCCGGTGACTTGCAGGATGCAAGTTTGGGGCAAGGCTGTGGCAGAGGCCAGGGGCCTGGAATCTACGGCCAGCGTCCTTCCTCCCCACCAGGAGTCCTCACCTTGACTAAAGGGTAGCCTCATCTGAAGTCCAGGGACCGAGGGGACTGGAGAGGGAAGGGGCTGGGGTCGCAGAGGAGGAACGGGGCATCTGTCCTGAGCCAAGCCTGTGCCTGTCTGGTGCCACAGGAGGCCCCTGTGTGAGCGGTCTCATTGCTTGCAAACTGCCAAAAATAAAATTCGCAGTGGAATTTCCTCTGAGGAGGAAACAGAGAAAACAAAATCCCAGCCCTGAGGGAACACTTGTCCTTCTGTCCACGTCCGAGAAGTCTGGGGGTGTGTGGTGCTCCCAGCTTCCCTGCTTCCCCAGGCCCTTTGTGACGGGGTCAGGAGAGCTCCATCAAAGGGCCCCCACTTGGGGACCTGGGGGCCTCCGAGAATGTGAGCGTCAAGAGGGTGCCGGGAGCATGAGAGCTGCCTCCGTGAAGCTACTGCACAGAGCGGAGGGTCTGCAATGTGCCAGGCACTTCCCACGCTGCTGTGCTGGGCACTGAGGCTGGCCAAGGTCTTGGATGCCAGGAGGGGCTGTTTTTGCTTGGGTCTCAGCTAGTGCTGAGGGAGAGGCACTCGACAGTGACAGGGTGGACTCGGTCCGCTCGCCAGTTCCTGCCCGCCTCTGTACCTCAGTCAGTTTCCTTTCTGGCAATCTCTGCTTGGCTCAACTGCCACCTCCTCCAGGAAGTCCTGCCTGATTCCCCTAGTTGAAAGTAGTCTTGCCCATTCCTGTTTCCACAGCATTTGGTGGATTCTAGCACTTAAGGCGGACTGTGTATTTAAACCTGTGTAAAACATTTGGGGGTGATCCACCATCTGGAGGCAGCAGAGAGAAGATGTCAGCAGCCTAAGGGGCAGGAGTGGGAGCCTGGCTCTGCCCCCCCTTTGCTGTATGACTGGTGCAGGCACACCTCTTCACTGAACCTCAATATATTACCCACTGGTGAAATAGGGGTATCACCACTGCGCATGACACAGGATGTCACGGGATCGATAAGGTTACAGATGCAATTGTCAAGCTCAGAAGTGTAAGGGGGTTCATTTCCAGGCATTGCATTTCAAAGGACACAGATATGCACAGAGGCTGAGGACAGACTCAAGATGGACGTGGTCAGCGTCCTTCCACAGACTCAGGACCGCCTCAGGGGACAGGAGGCTGACTGACTTACTTTTTGTGGCCCCAAGGGAGACAGACTTCAGCTCAGTACAAACAAAGAGGAAAATGGTACAACAGTTAGTTCCCCATGGTGGAAGTGGTGGTTTCATGCAGTAATGAGCTCCCCATCACTGGAAGGACACAAAGCCACTTGGCAGGAATCCAGTACAGAACGGAAATTGGACTAGACAGCTTGACCTCCTATCATTTTCTGATTCTAGAATAATTTAAGGCACTCTTGTAAGCCACTGGCAGCAGATGCCAGCTTGCTTTTGACCTTCCTGAGTGACCTCAGAGGGAAGAGAGTGAGAGAAACAATCCCATTCACAGGGTCTCAGGCAGACAGAATTGACTGCTATTTCCCAGCCACCGGGTCGTCCCCTAATTCATTGTCACTTCTGTAGGAAGGTCATTCTAGGCAAGAACCAAGTCTCTAACCAGGTCAACAGTTATCCTTTAATATCTGCTTCTTAACATGAGCTAATCGGTCTCGGGCTTTGAGCACTTCTTAGAGAGACATTAATCTAATGAAGTCAGAGGAGGAGGACAAACTGATAAGCAGATGGCATGGAAAGTGTTGCAAGAATGGGCACCTCGGGGCTTAGCTCAGCTGGTCTCCGGCCCGGCCTGTCCACCCCACCTTCACTTCCCAGGTTTCCCCAGATGCACAGACTGCAGAATCACCACGTATACAAAGTGTTGATTTATAATCAGCTGCTTTCCTTTCGTCAAAAGTCCCCCCAAAGTTCCCATTGGGTCAGAAGCTGAAGGAGTCCCTGGTCTTTCCACTTGTGGCTTTGTGCAGGTGTCAGACCACTGGCTCATCCCACCCCCCAGCTTTCCACTGGGGGGTGTACCCTCCTCCCACTCTGTAGCCTGTTTCAGTGCCTGTAATTCCATCATTAGAGTCACTTCATTTGGTTTAAGGCAGCGAGTTTCAAACTGTGCTCTGCAGGGCCCTAGGAATCTCCAGTGTCTCTGAGAGGCTGGGACAGGAGAAGGAAGTGGGGTAACCGAAAGGACAGGGCTCCAGGCTCCCCTTTAATCAGAACGCTTCTACTTTCATCTGATTTCACATTAACAAAGATGAAAAAATTAAGACTACTGGGTTGAGAGATATTAAAATATCTCATCTTTATGTTATCTAAGATTTGTACAATGAATTTGTATTCATTTTGTTAAGAGGCAAGAATAAAACACGTCAAAACAACAGCCCTGATGCCTTCGGGCAGGCAGGTGCCTTAGAAAGCATCTAGCCCATGTCCTCTTTCGAGGGTGGAGTACAAAGATCTCAAAAAGGGAGGCTTGGAAGGTTATTCCATGGGTGTTAATCCTATTAGCTCTTAACCACATTGTAGAGTACAAAGTTCTGGGGAAATGCACGGGAGCCTTACTACTAATCCCTTGAGGACCTGCGGGGGGAGAGGGTTGCTGACAGGAAGACAGGAAAGCCCTCAAAACCAGCCCTGGTGGGACAGGAAATTCCTCCAACTCTCTGCAGGAGAGGGGCCAGAGCGGAGAAGGGGTAAGGAGGCGTGGAGACCTGCCTGCCTCTGGTTCCACAGCGGGAGGGAGAGCTGCCCTGCCAGCCACTGACTGGCAATGGGACATTGCAGATGCTGGAAAGACCCTGCACAGTCAACCTAGCATCTTCACTTTACAGGTGGAGACAGGGGAGTCATCTCAGCCATGCACTGAATTATAAAGCCATCCTCAGACACCAGTCTCCTGACCCCTGGGCCATGGTTTGGGCAAGGGTAGAGCTTTGGCTGAAAGGAGCCAGTGCCTCACAGTGTGGACAGTGCTGGTGGCCAACTTGGCGAGACCCTGGTCATGAGGGAGCTTTGCAATGAGATGCCCCTGTGGGTGTCGGGGCCCATGTGTAAGCGGGGGTTAGATTTACAGCAGGGATTCTTAAAGCTTTGGATTCACAGACCAATACCAGTTTGTTTGCTTTTTAAATTAGGAGATTAACATAAAGATTGCCATTTTAAAATTTTACTAAATAAAGGCTTTACCCCCGAATTCTATCACCTATCACGATCATTTCCTTTATACAAAGACACGAATAGGAAGGGCATCATCTCAGAGTAAAGGTTGACTCTATAAATGGAAAGAATTTACTTTTATAAGAAAAACTCATAACAATTTCCTTATTTTTTTTTTTTATCATTTTTGTCATGAACTGGTGGGAATGGACCAGTACTGGTCAACATGTGGGAACCTCTGGGCTGGACGGATTACCTACGAGGGTCCTTCTCCAGCTCAGAAGGGCTGGGGTTCTAAACTGATGCCTGAGGGTATCTCTTTGGCCCCTCACACTACCAAAGTTGTATCTTATTCCTGGAAGCACGGTTTGGCAGAGCTGGAGAAGTGAGATGAGGATGGCCTGTCCCTGTCTGAGGGCAAACAGGGCCAGAAAGAACTGTCTAGGTCAAGAGTTGGCAAACTTTTTCTGTCAAGAGCCAGACAGTGAATATTTTGGGCTGTGAGGCCTCTGTTGCAACTATTCACCTCTGCTGTTTCAGGACATAAGCAGCTACAGGGACTTCCCTGGTAGCACAGTGGATAAAACTCCACGCTCCCAATGCAGCGGGCCCAGGTTCAATCCCTGGTCAGGGAACTAGATCCCACATGCATGCCGCAACTAAGAGTTCGCATGCCACAACTCAGGAGCCTGCCTGCTGCAACTAAGACCCGGCACAACCAAATAAATATAAATACATAAATAAATATTAAAAATAAAAAAGCAGCCACACGCAAGGCATATATACATGAGTGAGTTGTGGCTGTGAACCAATATAACTTTATGTAGGGACCTGGAAGTTTGAATTCCTTATAATTTTCATGTGTCACAAAATCTCATTCTCCTTTCAATTTTTAGAAACCTTTTAAGTGTAAAAACCATTCTTTGCTCGTAAGCCGTACAAACAGGCGGCAGGCTGAGTTGGGCCCGCAGGCTGTGGTGTGTTGACCCCTGTCTAGATGCTGTTCTCACCCTGAGTCTGTCACGGGTCGGCCAGGTGGCTTGGGGCAAGTTGCTTCCCCACCGCAAACGTCAGTCTCCTCACTGCTGACAAAATGAATTCAGTCTAGACTCAGACAAGGAAGGAGCCACCTGGTAGGGACTAGGTGGGCAGATACCTACTTGGCCTCTTCCCCTGCCAACGGAGACAACTGACAGACAGTCTTTCCTGGCAGTGCCAACTTACCTGCTCCTGAGACAGAAGGCTTCCTGGCCTTTCAGATGGTGTGTCATCCCCTTTGCATTTGGGACAGATCCGATCCTCACCATTCCTGGGGACACATGAACAAATGCCACTGAGTGAGGCATTCACGACTCCATGGCACCAACCACCGTCCCCAGAGCTCCAAATGCCTAGCCCTTGCCCAGTGTGGCAGCTGATACCAATGAGCGTGCAGCTCCACAATCCCAGACCCACCATTCCCAAACCAATGTTTTCCTGTAGTTTGCAGTGAGCTTCTCTGGCAGCCAAACCTGATCTGAAGTGACTAGAGGCTATTCAAGCCCCTACTTATCCCACTTAGCGTGAATATTTATGTTTGCAGAAATATCCATTGCTTGATTATAAGGTGCATCCCCAATTCCCGCTGGAAGAATTACACAGTAATGCACTGACTTGCTTTTCTAAAATCTGAAAAACTTCTCCATTCCAAACTACATCTGACCCCACGGGTTCAGATAAAGGATTGTGGATGTGCAGCTATATTAGTTCTTCTCAGCTTCCTCTATTTTATTTTGGTCTCTTATTTTTAGTAATTACAGATGACCATGGCCTCTCTGAATAAGAAGGGGCCTCCGAGAACACCTAGCCTGAGGTTCTTAACCAGGAGTGGGTGCCGGACTCTGAATGGGGTGACACATGGTCCTATGTGCTTTAACAAAGCTCCCAAGCGATCCGGTCCTCAGTGAGAGCCACGGGTCAGGCCCATTTTACAGGAAGGAGAATGAGGCCTCAGAGGACGTATGGATCCACCAAGGTCGAGGGAGGCAGGCGCAGAGCTGGGCAGAGCTCTTCAGGCCTCAGGCCTGGATCCCTCTCCCGCCTCTGCCAGGTTTTGGAAGGACAGCGAAGGAAGCCAAGAGGCCCATTGCAAAAGCCTGAGATGAAGCCAGGATGGTGAAACCAGTTGAGCTTTGCTCCTCCCCCCACCTGCCCTTCTCACCACCACCTCTCTCCGCCTTCTCTCGGCCTCCTCCTTTGTGAAAGCATTGGAACTCCTCAAGCTTGCCTGAGAAGTTTCCCACCTTCTTAAACTGTAAAGTCCCAAACAAAGGTCATGCTGGGGGTGCACGGCAGTTTAAGAACACATCTGCCAGGAAACTGACCTGCGGCAAACTGACCTCATCTGTCCATTAGGCCTCACTGCCCTCATTTGTAAAATAGGGTAATAATAGTATCCACCTTTCCAAGGAGCTTCTGAAGACACAAGGAAAGAGTGCTTGGCACACAGTTGGTACATAATAGTTGCTTAAGGTGGGATACTGATGATCATATTGATGTCACACCTGAGTTATTTATATTTTACATATAAATATACACATATTTTAATATATAATATACAATGTAAATTATATACGTATATTTTATACACATGCAAAATGTGTGCATTGTATATATTTATATGCAAATATATACATATTTTATATATACATCCATAAATGTATAATATATGAATACAAAAAATATCTAGTCCCCTTTAAAAGCATTCCCAGCAAACAGTCTGAGGTGATGGGTGATATTGTGGAAGAAGATATATTTGTACAGCAGTTTGTCATTTACCAGGGAGTTTATATTCATTATTACAAGGATTTTTTGGAATGTTATTGACTGGGCCTTGTAACAATCCTGGGAGGTAGAAAATCACTTTACAGGCATTTTACAGACAAGGAGGCTGAGACATCAAACAATTTGCACAGGCCACACAGTAAGTAGCCCAGCTGGACCCAGAGGCTCTCCCCCTGACCCCGGATGGCCTTCTGCTAAGGGAGCTGACGTCTTTCTGTGGCTACTTCTCCTCCCACCAACAGTCAGACGGGGCAGTGTCCGGGACCCTTGAGGAACAGGTGTGGAAGCTGAGGCCAGAGAGGTGAAGTCACCTGCCCAAAACCACAGCTCCTCTCACCCCCGCCTCCCGTGAGGGCTCCCTCCCTGGCACCTCCTTCCCACCCGCCTCTTCTCCTCCGACCCCTCACCTCACGTTCTCAGAGAGACAGACGGCGCAGCAGAGGGGCCTGGGCTCTGGTGGGTCCTGGCAGACGGTGGCGGGGCACCCAAAGGGGAACTCGTTCTCATCGGGGGCCGGGTGGCGGCTGCTGGCCGAGCCAGAGGCCATCTCAGGGTCCCAGGCTGGCTGGTGGGGGGCCCCTGTTCAAGCTCCTCTGGGGAGGGGACCAGCTCCGTGGAGTCTGTGCTGGGAGAAGAGGTGAGTGCTGGCCGGGCCACCCTCTCTGATGTGCAGGAGTCTGATGATTTTATCTTCTCGCTGGCTTGTGCGGTTCAACGTCACAGCTGAGTCACAGCAGGGATGAGACAGGAATTACCCTTTGTGGTGAAAAAAATCCCCTGGATGGTGACTGCAGGCTCTAGGAGTGTCCAGTCATTCTTTTGAGCAAGAGGGAGGGGAAAGCAAGTCAGAGAGAAAAAAGAACCGTGTCACGGACTTTCAGGAACCACAGTTAGAGTTTCCCCAGTCGGAGGACCTCAGGCTGCCACTGGCTTCCTCCACTTCCTCCCCAGGGGACAGGAGCAGAGAGAGCCCCAGTCGGTGACTTGTCTATGTTCCCTGGAACCTCCGAGCAGCCTAGGATACTCGGTGTGGGTGTTCACTGCCCCAGTGGAAATCCCCAGGGTTCTGGAGTCAGGTCCAAAAATGCAAGTTCCGTGCACATTAGCTCTGCCCTGTCCAGAGTATCTTAGGTAAAAGTCACTTTTGCACAGCGGGTCTCGGTTACCCCATCTATTTATTAAAAAAAAAAAAAAAAAAGGAATTGCAACAGGATTATCTCCAAGACTTCTCTGGGGTCTAAAATTCTGGAACCCCATGGCCAAGGCCAGCAGGAAGGCTTCTGATGGTCCAGCCCTGCCCGTGGCGTTCTTCATCAGTATGTGTGACACCTGGCCCTCCCCTCTGAAGTCCGAGGCCTCAGGACCATGGACTGCTCAGGGCCCTCCCTCCACGGCCCCACTCAGGAAGTCATAGGTGGCCACAGACTCGGATCAGGCGCCACCACTTCCTGGCCCTGAGGAGAACAAAGGTCTAAATAAATACAAGGTCACGAGGAGTTGGTCTCAGCAGCCAAGTGGGACGCAGATCCATGGTTGTGTGGGAAGCATGGCTCCTGGCACATCTACCATGCCCCAGGCAACATTTTCCTTCCTATTCCTTAGAGCAACCTGTTAGGAATTCCGCAGGCATGTGGAGGCACAGAGGAGCAAGATGCCTGGTCCAAAGTCACACAGCACCTGGTGGTACAGCACGATGACCACCAGGTCTGTGGGACTCTAAGCTCTGTGTTCTTCCTCCCACTCAAGAGAGGCAAAAACAAGGCAGCTTGGTGGAGCCTACAGAGCCCAGGATGGAGGTCAGAGCTTCTAGCCTTTGTTTTCTCACCTACCAAATGGAAAAGATGATCCCTCCACATCTTTCTATTCTGCTGGGTTGCTACTAGGGGTTTTGCAAACTTTCATAGTAGTTTCAAATCACAGGCTTCGAGGTCTGACAGATTTGAGTTGGGACCCTGAGTCCATCACTTACTAGCTGTGGGTCCTGGGACAAGGTCAGTAACTTCTCTGCACCTCAGTTTCTGCATCTGCAAAATGGGGTTAATATTAATACCTACTTCACCTGACTTGTAATCACTAAATGAGATCATGGGTGAAAGCATGGCATGGTGCACGGCCCAAGTGAAGTGCCTGAAAAACTTTGATACTGATGATGGCCACAGCCCTTCCAGCTCCTCAAGGTCACGAAGAAAGACTAAGATGGTAAGTTATGCTTATATAGTGTTTTCACATCCATCAACTTTAGGTGAGCCTCACAAGCGGGCAAGGCAGGTCTGACGTTGTCCTCTGACCCTAGTAAATTCAACTGTCCACTTTCCCGGGAGCAATGCCGAGGCTGCCTGGGGTCGCTGGCAAAGAGGGCAGGGCACCCTACCCTACTGCTGCAGTGGAAATCAGGACCTCCACCCTTACCTGGGCCAGCCCTGACCTGGCCCTCTCAGCAAACGACCTTGAGGCCTACTTCGGAGAAAGACTATCAGAAAGCCACTCACTTAACCATATACCCCAAACCTGCAAACTTCCCTGTGTCCCCACCTGCTCCCTCCTTCCCTTGGTTTGGCACAGGAACCCAAGATTTCTCTCTCCATCCAAGTTCTTCGGTCCCTTTCTCTCTGCTCCCTTTTCTCTCCCCTCTGTCTTCAATGCCTCCCAGCTCCTTCCTATCAGCAGCAAAATATCGCAAGCTGCTCTAATAATTACAAGTGAAAAGTAACAGGTGCTTTTAGTGCCGTGTTAAGTGCTTTTACAGGCACCATCTCATCTAAACTTCACGTGAACCCTATGAGGCAGGTATTGTCATCTTCATCCCCGTTTTACGGAAAAGGGAACTGAGGCACCAAGAGGTTCAGTGACATGCCCAAGGACTCCCCGATAGTGAGTGGGGACTCGGGAGGCCTGAGCCTGTGTTCTAACCACACATGGTGCTTTAAAACGCCCTTTACCCTCATTCCACATTCCTCTCCAACATCTACACCTTCTCACTTTAACGTAACTCCTAGAAAATACTGTCTACACGGACGCTCCGCTTCCTCACTCCAATCTCCATGGAACCATCTCCCCAAGGTTCTCAAGGTCGAGGGTGCCAAATGTCCGGGGCTTGTCCCAGTTTCTATCCAACCAGCCCTGTGGCCAGCACCTGACACGCCTCTTGGCGCCTCCTTTCCAGTTCCCTTCCTTGTTGTGGCCTCCTGCACCCCTTCCGTGCTCCCCCCGCCCCCACTTCTGTGGCTGCTCCTCCTTATGTCTCCTTGATCCCCTTCTCTTCCACTCTGAACCGCCATCAGCCCCATCTCCGCGCCTCCCCCCGCCGCGGGCCTCGCAGACGCGGAGTCTCTGCACTGTTACACCCGCGTCTCCCCAGCCTTCCACTTGTCCTTCGGGGCGCAGCTGGACCAGACCCCACTTTCCCTGGGAGTCCCGGTGGGCCGCCCCAGGATGAGGTTGGGCTCCCAGCTTTGTGATCCCACCGCGTCCCACAGCCGGAGCACAATCACCCCCCGCCCGGCTCAGTGATGCCGGATGACCTGTCCGTGTCCCTCAGCCCCGTTCGTGCGCCCCGCGCGGGCTGGTGACGGCCGTCTCGCCACCGCCACATCTCCGGATGCGTGCGCACTGAGGGGAGCAGAGCGGCGCCCGCGACTATTCAAGGATGAGCCCCCGCAGGGCTGCCCCGGGCGTCCGCAGGAAGGGCGGGGGCAGCGAGTCCGGGGCAGGGCTCTGCAGCCGGGATTCCAGGTCCCGGAGGCGCGCGGGGGGGGTCCCGCACTTGGGCAGCCCCCGCCCCCGCCCCAGAGAGCTGGAGCCGGGCTGTCCCGGGCGGGGAGCGCTGGGGCGACGGCCGGCAGCCCCCGCAGTCCCGAGGCGGGTGGGGGCGGGGTGCAGTGCAACCAACCTTGGCGCCGCCGCCGCTTCCCAGCGGCCCGGCGGGAGCTTCCGGTGGCGCGAGGACTCGGCCCAGGCGGCGGAAACCGGGGAGGGCAGGCCCGGGGCCGGTTCCTGCAGCCGGAGCCGCCTTTCCGAGGCGGCCTCGGGGGCGGGGCGAACGCTCCCCGAATGGGGAAACTAGGCCCGGGGCGGCATCCACGGCGTCGCAGGCTCTGTTTTTCCACTGAAGACTGACCTTCCGTTCTCCTTCTCCCCGCGCGAGTTCCTGGCACGTGTGTGGGACTCAAAGTGTTCGCAGACTAAACGAACACGGACTTGGGACTTGAACCGGCATCCTGTCCCCTGCCTGCCTGCAATCCTGCGTGGGGTGGGGCGAGCAGCAGCAAAACCCAAGTCTTAGCCCTCTTAGAGTCCTGCAAGGTCCTAGCACAGTGTCAGGCTCGTCCAAGCTTATTGGGTTGGAGCAATCAGCGAAGAGATGTACAGAGCGGTTCTGAAGGCACGGGGCTTCCACAGAACTGGGTGTTTTCAGGAACCGTTTCTGGTTTTGTCTAAACACACACACAGCCACTTATTCCCTATGAATTTTGTGTATATCAATCAAAATAGTTTTGGTACTTAGTGTTGGGGTAGAATTTTTGTCTAAAAGGTACAAACAATCTTTATTTTTGCGAATTTGATAACGGCTCCTTCTCCATCAAGTCCTAACATCTGCAGGACTGTTAGCTGAGGAAGGAGTGAGCCTGACTACTTTGTTGGTTTTGTTTCCTTTCTGTGGCTCTGAGGCACCCATTACATTCTCTATGTATTAGGGTCCCATTTTTTGTCTTGACACCAACTGGAGTTGGGAACTGTGTTTTACTCCTTTGGTTTTGTTTTTTTTTTTTTTTTTTTTTTTAACCTGGGATGTATTTAAGCCTCTCACTCACCTGGGGCAGAACTCCCAGCTTCTGCCTGAGGAGCTGATGCTGCAGGATAGAATCCTCCTGGAGAAAGGAGGGCCTCGGTCCTACCTGGAGGGGAGGCGCCTGCCTGCAGACAAGCAGAGGGTCTCAGGGGCCTCCAAGACAGGCAATCTGTGGGACACTGACCAGAGGTGGCTTCTGTGGTCACGTTCAATTCTAAGAGAAAAGGATTTAGAGCTTTGAGTCTCTGATTTAAAAATTCATTGATTCTCAGTGCAGTGGGACCTCTAAAAGCCCTTCTCTGCTCCCACCTCTCTCCCACCCGCCCCCTTCCTCCCTGCCCCGGGCCAGTGTAAGTGAGCAGGCAACCTGACTTTACTGTCTTCGTGTGCCACATCCTGTTTTCAGATTAATGAGCTCATTTGGTGGAAATTTACCAAGGGAAATAGTTTAATTTTGGAAAGTACCAAAAACTTATCTGTAGTCACTCGACTTATTTTTGGGGGCTCTTGAAATAGAGGGGGCATCACCAGGGGACCTCTGAGCCCTCAGCAAGTGGCAAGCCTGCAGAAATCGAAAGCGGAGCCCAGTGAGGCTTAACCTGACTCAGAAAGGAATCGAAACCCTTTGGAGACCACTCATCTCTACCCAGTAGAAAAAAAAATTTTTTTTCCCCAAAAATAAGTTTAAGAAGAAAAGTAGTCCATCTGGCTAAGGCCTAAGATCTGGTGGTATGAACCTGGGGCCATGATTGGGGAACAAGAAAGCACACACAGGGAAGTAGGGAATGTTTGAGCCTCAGCAGTCCCGCTCACATCCATAATCTGCTCTGCTGGTTCTACAAAGCACCAAAAGGTTTCCATTCTCCAGTTTTGCCCCAATCCTTCAGCTGTCAGACTCTTGACATTGAAGTTGCCTGCTAGCCTTGTAGCCTTTTGAGCTTGTGATTCCTGCAAGGAACTAAGGACTGAGTGGCCGGGAGGACTATGGAAAATTAAGGTTTGGTGAGCCATTCTGCATTGAAGATGGTAGAGCACGTGTGACAAGCCCCGTAAGTGTCTGACCACCTCTTGGCCTGCCCTGTTTCCTAGAGGAGAGATTTTTCATCCCTTCTGAGATGCAGAAGAGAAAAATGGTGAAAACTGACAAGGCGCTGACAGTTCGGTACTGGAATGAAAGGAATTGTGTCTTCCTTCTCTGCCCCCATCTGAAATCCATAGTGATATTTTGGAGGACATATTTCTATTTTGGAATGAGCACTGCACTAGGAGTCAGGATACTTGTGCTCTTTTTTTTCTCCCTGCCACTAAAGTATTTGGGGGGCGGTAGATAAATAGATGAATGCTTAAGCAATAATTCAAGAAATAATAGTCCATAGTTTTTTTGTTTTTGTTTGTTTGTTTTTTAGTGGAAAATGACCTTAAAGATCATAGAATGCATTGGGTTTTTTCAAAATTTGTATTAGCTGTGGGACTGTGTCTTCAAATGCTTTTTCACATAGAGCCCAAACGTATAAACCAGCTAGAAGCAAGGATTTTCTGTTAAGCGGAGCAGGCAGCTGGGAGCCTGTGCGCTGGGCTTCTCTCCTCCCTGTCTGGGCCTCTAGGCTCTAGGGACACGGTTAAAAAAAATCGTGGATCTAATGAGATGCTCCCAGGTCCCAGAGGTGGAAACTGGGATTCTCTCCTGGGCTGGCTTGCCTCTAGTGTCCCAGCCGTTCAACCTTTTCTTCAATAACTGTGACTTTCCATGTGTTATAGTCCAGATGGGCATTGGAGGAGGGAAAGATTACATTGGCCTGGGTCATTAGCCTTGCAGGTGGTGAGGGGGCAGGACCAGATTGGAGCCTAAGCATCTAGAGGATTGAGGTCAGTGGTCATGGTAAAAATAACAGTGACAGTAATAGTGGCTACACTTTATTTAATATCAGTCACAGTGACACTGCTCTAATCGGAGCACATCACATGCCTTGCTCCATTTATTAAGATCATCAAGAAGAGATGAGAAAACTGTTTTTCTCCTTTCCAAATTCCAGGCCCCAGATTATAGCAGTAAATGAGGCAGACCGAGCTCCTGTTCTCATGACAGCTGCCTCCTAGATATGAATGCACCAGCTGAGCATATCCAGTCAGCTAATGCCAGCCATTTGGGCTGCTTCTGTTTGTCAGCAACCCTTAAAACGTGGAGCCCATAATGGGCTACTACTTCCTCTACTCATAAATACCAAACATTCCTCGTTTTGCCTCTATATTCCTTCTTTTCATTGCCAGCTGCAGGCTTTGTCCCTGTCATACTCACAGCTTGTGTTTAGTAAAAACAATTAGTGAACAGCTTTCCTGCTAGCATCATCTAAATCTCTGTAAACTTCTGGTTCCCGAACCAGGAAATTTAATTAAACAGATGATTACATGTTATCAGTCACCTAGTAGATTAGAAGACCAAATTGTCCTGGGTTCCTCAACCCAAATTCAATACCTCCCCATGGTAACTCACACACAGCTGATAGCAACAATAAAACAAAGAAATATACCAAATGATCTTGTAAAAACTGTAGCCTATAGTACACCTTCTCCGCTTTGGTGTGATGATTTAAAATGTCCCAAGTTTCCTTCTGTTAATCTCCATCTGGTTCTTACTATACTTATTATAACTGGCAATTTCTAAAATGTGCCTGTTTACAACTAGTTTTCTGCCCCACTAGACTATGTGGATTATATGAATATGAGAAATTAAGTTAATTAAAGGTGTTAAAGTAAAGCTGTGTCTGATTTCTTCATTGTTCTTTCCCCTGACTTAGCACAGAGGAGGCTGTCAAACATTTGTTCAGTGAATGACTAATACTCAAGACACTATCCATAATCATTTTTACTTAAGGTAATAATCATTAATGATGATTTCACCATCATCACAAAATGTTTATTAAGTATCTTTGGCCTGGCCCTTTTCAGGGTGTTGTGAAGTTAGAAATAGCATTCTAACAAAAATTTGGAAAGAAATCTGGGGTTCTTTTTTGAAGGGAGTTTCTATGTCTGGTGATTTTCCCTATCTCAGTAGATTTCCAGATTTTAAGGAAAGAAACAAAGCACCTCAGAAGTTTTTTGAATTGTAGGCTCCAGACCTGTTCCTAGGGGTTTTCCAATTATTTGTGGGGCTGGCCACTTTGAAAGTGCCATGGGGATTTCACTTTGTGATGGAGGTACCAATGACACTCACGGGGATGGTAAAGTGGTCCAGGCAAAGAGCTTGGCAGATGGACCCTTTGATAAAGACAAGCTCTTAAGAGGCCAATAATGAGGAAGGCAGACAACTTTGGGTCAATGCTGGTCAACCTGCTGCTTCTCTTTGCCATCTCTGGCCACTTGCGTGCCTCGTTCTAAAAGTTTGCTTTTGCTACGTGTCAAATTCCTTCTTTCATGGACTCTGGCAATAAAGACTCTTCTTATTTTTATTTTTTTATTTTTTTTGCGGTACGCGGGCCTCTCACTGTTGTGGCCTCTCCTGTTGTGGAGCACAGGCTCCGGATTCGCAGGCTCAGCGGCCATGGCTCATGGGCCCAGCCGCTCCGCAGCATGTGGGATCTTCCCGGACCGGGGCACGAACTCGCGTCCCCTGCATCGGCAGGCAGACTCTCAGCCACTGTGCCACCAGGGAAGCCCTAAAGACTCTTCTGAAGGTGGGTGCCTGGACCTCCAATGCCTTTTACTGGGCTACAGAATTATTGCTCTTCCTTCACACTTACATTTGTGAGGTTGGGTTTTCCGGGCTCTTTGCTGGATCAGATCAAGAATATCTTGATGTTCTAGCCCCAAAGCAGTTGATATCTGCCTGAGGAGCAACGTATCCTGGGAGTCCTCCTCTCCCTCCGTCCTGAGGACTCAGCCTGAGAGAGAAAAATCAGTGAGTGAACAGAGCCCTTACTCAGGAATCAAGAGATCTGCCTCTGACATTGACTTCAGGACTGTGGGGAAAGTCCATCCCATCCTTGGGCCTCCTTTTTCCCATCTGCAAAGTGGGAGAATGACCTCAGAACAATC